ACGCCCATCGCCACCTGGCCACGCCCACCATTGGAGTGGAGCGTGGCTCTCTCTTTGCCCACCAGCCCTATCCAGGATCTCAGTGCTTCCCCAACTCCGCGCCCCCCAGCGGGCGGCGGGCGAATTACAGGGTTGAAGAGGCCACGCCCATCGCCACCTGGCCACGCCCACCGTTGGGGTGGGGCGTGGCTGTCTGCACATCTTCAGCCCCAGGGCATTTCTTTGTGATCTCTGCACCTGAGCTGCTTCTGCTTTGTGTCCTTTGCCCCTTGTGAAGTTTTTATTTTTATTTTTTAAAATTTTTGTTCCAAGTACACACACCCTAGAAAAGGCAGGGACAATTTTTGTGTGTTTTTTTTTTGTTGTTGTTGTTGTCATTCTTGATCCTTGCATTTATCAGTTCCCACTAAATGAGAAATGGAACGTCTCGGTGACCATCTGCAGCCTGGGACAGGTAACCCCAGCTTCGCAGAGGCTGGGGGAGCCCTGGGTGAGTCTCCTCCAGCACAGCTCAGCTCATCTCCCATTCCTTCCCACCCTCCTCCTCCTGACACCTCCTCCTCGATCCTCCCTTTGGCCCTTCCAGCTTTCCCATTTTTATTTTTAAACCTGTGGGCTCAGAAAAAATCTCCGCCACCAGAATCGTTGTAGAGCGGGGTGGGGATGGGAGGGGAAAAAAGAAAAAAAAAACCCCAACAACCAACAAACTGGGAGAGGGCGAGGGAAGGGGTGACCTGGTCTACATGACCTGATTTATGTCATGACCTGATTTATGTCACGTCCAGCCGTCTGTACATCACCCGCATAATAATAATTTAACAAAAGAATCGTTGGAGAACCATTTCCTGAAGCCTGCATCTCTCTTCGTGGTGGCACCATGGCTATCTCTGCTGAGCTGGTCCTCTTCCTCATCTCTCCATCCCTCTTACAAATAGCCTAATCTTTGCTTGGGGGGTCACCCCCATCTTTTGGGGGTGCCCATCACTGATGGGATGCTCCCTCCTCTGGGATACTTTTCCCTGATCATATCCCTCCTCCCCCTCCAACACAGAAGTAGCTCAGCCAACAGCTCAGTTCCTTGGGGTTCTTTCCTCTGTAGAAGATTCTAAGTGTTCTGTCTCTGGTTCTGACCAGGGAGGGATGGAGGCAAAGGTGTGAACCACTGACTTTTTTTTTTTGGCCAGTCCTGGGGCTTGAATTCAGAGCCTGGGCACTGTCCCCAAGCTTCTTTTTGCTTAAGGCTAGCACTCTACCACTTGAGCCACAGCGTCACTTCCGGCTTTTTCTGTGTATGTGGTGCTGAGGAATCGAACCCAGGGCTTCCTGCATGCTAAGCAAGCACTCTACCACTGAGCCACCTTCCCAGTCCCCCGAAGCACTGACTTAACAGGAGGAGACCTACTAGGCTCTCTTCCTTGCCTCGATGCTCCAATGAACCAAGCAGTTCTGCTTACTGAGTCACCTTGGCTCAGATTGTCACCCTTATCTGCTTTGGTGTGGACCTTGGGTGAGCCAGAGCTAGGTTCGTGTCCTATCGTATCATGGAGATTGGCCAGGCTGGTTGCTGAAGCCTGGCCCGAGTGATTCACCGAGGAAAGGAGTTTGGTAAACAAGTGGAAAACAGCTCAGCACACGAATGATCTCTGCACCTTTATTACTGTTTTCCAAGTGTATCAGGTTCCCTAGGGAGGCAGGGACTTCAGCGAGTGGGTGTTGTGTGGCTACATGGTGGGGCTGGGAAAGGGGCAGAGGGTGGATGAATGGGCAGGGTGCATCATGGGAGAGCGGATTGCTCTCTCTGATGAAAAGTTAATGAATCTGGTGCTCTTGGCAGGAGATGGACATTTCTCCCAGGTATTTAGTTCCTGTGTTGGTGAAAGATTAAAAGTTTCTCATGGATTTATGAGATCTCTCTCTCAACTCAAAACACATAGACACTGCCAAGATCTCTGGGAATCTGTCATATAAATAGTATTTCACTATCAATTGATACTAATCAGATTCAGTCTCCAGTGGAGCCACATCTCTGTCCATCTTTGAGGATGGTTGAAGAAAATTGCAACATGAAGTGTGTGTGTGTGTGTGTGTGTGTGTGTGTGTGTGTGTGTGTGGTGAGGCTTGAACTCTGGGCCTAGGTGCTGTCCCTGAGCTTTCTTTTAGCTCAAGGTGAGTCCTCTACCACTTGAGCCACAACACCACTTCTGGTTTTTCTGATGGTTCATTGGAGATGAATCTCCCGGATTTCCCTGGGAGATCTCAGCCTCCTGAGTAGCTAGGATGACAGATGTGAGCCACCAGTACCAGGCTCTGACTTTCTTTCTTTTTTTTTTTTTCTTTTTTGTCAGACATGGGGCTTGAACTCTGGGCCTGGGCGCTGTCCCTCAGCTCTTCAGCTCAAGGGAAGTGCTCTATCACTTGAGCCATGGCGCCACTTCCAGCTTTTTTCTGCTGAGGAATCGAACCCAGGGCCTCATGCATGCAAGGCAAGCGCTCTACCACTGAGCCACCTTCCCAGCCAGCCCCCTCTGACTTTCTTTCTTAAGCAAGGATCTGCTAGTCAGTCACCAGATTTCGGGGTGGGGGGAGAGAAGGTAGGTATTCTTTCAAAGGTCTCTGTGTGCAGACATCCCAGGGCCTTTTTCTTCTCAAAACTTTTAATTCTTTGTCCCTTTTCTCTAGGATTCTATTTCCCTTGGTTAGGGTACTTACATGAGCCCTAGTGATTGAAAAGTTGGGCTCTTGTGGTACTAGAATCCAAGGTGAGTGAAATATTAACCTGGTATCCCCCTCCTCCCCCCTCCCCCCATCCATCTGTCCCGGAAGAGATTCCTCCAAGCTCCTTCTCACAGACCAGTGGAGCTTCACTCGGGGTTGGGGGGTGGGGGAGGGTATCCTCCCCCCTTTAAGTTCCCCCCAAACTTCAGAATGACTCAGCAAGGAGGTGGGGCTGGAGCAGACAGGGAAAGCCAGACAGCCTGATCTGGGTCCAGTTATCTGTGCGAAGCTGCTCACAATGGTTACATCCTGAATTCTTCTTGTTTGTAAAGGAGATGGTTGAATCGAACCTGGTGTCCATCTTGGGGCAGTGCTAAGGGATCCTTCTGGAGGGCTTTGGGTCAATAGGAAGTGATAAGAGATGGATTGATCACTACATTTTCCCTCTCTTATTTCAAGGAGAACCCGCACAGAGAAGCAGGCAGATGGGTTGAGAGTTACATGAGCACCCATTTCCACCCCTGCCCCAGCCTTACACTGTAGAGGGCTGTGGCAATGGCCCTGCCTCTGTGGAGAAAAACACAGGCTCACGCCTGTCATCCTAGCTACTCAGGAGGCTGAGATCTGAGGATCATGGTTCACAGCCAGCCCGGGCAGGAAAGTCTGTGAGACTCTTATCTTCAATTACCTATCAAAAAGATGGAAAGTGGAGCTGTGGCTCAAGTGGTAGAGCACCAGCCTTGACTGGAAAAGGTAAGCGAGAAGGTCCAGGCTTTGAGTTAAATCTTCAGTACTAGAGAAGGAAGGAAGGAAGGAAAGAAGGAAGGAAGGAAGGAAGGAAGGAAGGAAAGAAGGGAAAGGAAGGAAAGACAGAAGGGAGGGAGGGATGGAAAGGGAGAAGGAGGGAGGAAGAAAGAAAGAGAAAGGAAGGAAAGACAGAAGGGAGGGAGGGATGGAGAGGGAGAAGGAGGGAGGAAGAAAGAAAGAGAAGGTAATGAAAGAAAGAAGATAAAAAGAGGAGAAAAAAAGGAAGGAAGGGAGGGAGGGAGAGAAGGAGGAAGGAGGGAGGAAGAAGGGTGGGAGGGAAAGAGAGAGGGAGAGAAGGAGGAAGGGAGAGGAAAGAAGAAAGAGAGAAAGGAAGGAAGGAAGATAGAAAGAGGAGAGAAAAGGAAGGAATGAAGGAAAGAAAGGAGGGAGGAAGAAAGAAAGAGAAAGGAAGGAAGATAGAGGAGAGAAAAAAGGAGGGAGGAAGGAAGGGAGGGAGGGAGAGAGAGGGGGAGAGGAGGAAGGGAGAGAGGAAAGAAGAATGAGAGAGAAAGGAAGAGGAGAGAAAATGGAAGGAAGGAAAGAAGGGAGAGAGGGAGGGAAGGACGGAGGGAAGGAGGAAGAAAGAGAGAAAGGAAGATAGAAAGAGGAGAATGGAAGGAAGGAGGGAAGGAAGGAAGGAAGGAGGGAAGGAAGGGGAGAAAAAAAGAAAATGCAGGTCCCACCTGTGCTCTGACAGATGCACGTGACAGCAGGAATTCAGGACCAAGTGACATCAACAGCACAATTATAATATATTAAAGGCAATGTGACAGAATAAAAGTTTGGGAGGACAATCCATTTTTCCCCAGACCCTCGAGGTTGCCGCTCGACCTGGGTGAGCTCAGCTAAAGGTGCTGCCTGAAAGGCAAGGGATAGTAACAGGGGATTTACTTTCCAGACAGGACCATCAAGGAGGCTTCACATGGGGCCTGCATGATGGCAGGGAGCCTCCTTTCCCGAGGGAGTTCCCCCTTGACACACACATACCATCCGTAGTGACCCACCGAGACATGAGGAGAGACCCCCCCCCCGCCCCCCCCCCACACACTCAGTGCCAACACAGGTAGATGACTGAGGTAAGATCGGAAGGGAAGCTCTCCCGAGAATCATGCACCAAGTCAGCCTCCAATACATAAGAGTCATCAATGGGCAAAAGACCTCCTGGATGCGGCCTCTGCCACTGAACCTCCATCACATTAACAGCCCCGTCTCCCAGCCTGGGCCTAAAGAAGGTATCCACGTCCTTGGTGGTAGCAAGCAGAGGCTGAGAACATGTGGATGGATGAAGACAGGTGCATCTGAAGTGGCCGGCACTGATATTGTTGTAGTAATAGTAGCAGTAGTAATAGTTCTTTTGTTGTTGTTGTTGGTCATGGGGCTTGAACTCAGGGCCTGGGCGCTCTACCACTTGAGCCACGGCGCCACTTTTGGTTTTCTGGTCGTTCATGGGAGATAGAGAGTCTCATGGACTTTCCTGGCCCAGGCTGGCTTTGAACCGCGATCCTCAGATCTCAGCCTCCTGAGTAGCTAGGATGACAGGCGGGAGCCGCCAGTGCGTGGCCTTCTGTGTGGCTTTCTCAGGTTGAAATAAAGCCCCCAGATAAACGCATGTAGAACCAAGGGCGGAGAGGTCCTGGGTTCATGTCAAGTCCCATAGTCCTTTAGTTCTGGCTCTGTGTCAGAATACAAGTCACAGAGAGAGACAGACAGACAGAGAGAGACAGAGAGACAGGGCTGTGCTTTCCAACATGGCCGCTGTCAGGTGATTCTCCTGTGACAGGAAGTAAGGCTCTGTGGAGGAAGAGAGTCCAGAACCCTTCCCAGTCTCCCAGCCCAGCTCTGACTATGAATAACTCCCCTCTGTCCTCTCCCCTGCAGAGTTTGTGCGGCCAGAGGAGAGCAAAGCTGTCTGGGAAAGGGGGGAAGGGGACGTTCTTGATTTTTCTCCCGGGGGACAAGGAGGAGGAGGAGGAGGAGGAGGCGGAAGAGGAAGAGGAGGAGGAGGAGGCGGGTAAGGCAAATGGTGATTAAGTTTTTCTCTCTTATTTAAAAACGAGAGAGAGAGAGAGAGAGAGAGAGAGATGAGCTGACGTTAGAAAATACAGGTAGGTGTGGAGAGGCAGAATTCAGTCTCAGGAACAAGGCAGGGGGGAGTCCCCCACAAGTGGTGGGTCAGATGAGGCCCGAGGCCTTCCCCTGAACATTGTACTCCCTGTTTTTCTTCACCCTCCAGCTGACGAAGAAGAGAAGCAGCGTGCCCAGTATCTTGTATGCCTGCTGCAGTCCCAGGTACCTGGGGGGGGGGGGGGGGAGAGGGGGGGAGGGATGGGGAACAAGAAGAGAAAAGGAGTCAGGAAGGAGGTGGGCAGGGGCCCAGGTCGCAGGATCCAGTGCCCCCCTCCAGGAAGAAGAATGTCCTCTCTCACTAGGGCAGAGAAACTCGCTGTATATCAATTCAGGGAATCTATTACCGCTCAGGTATGTGTGTATGGGAGGATCGCTTTCCTCACTTTTTGACTCAAAAAGATAGATACTTTTGCCAGGCGCCAGTGGCTCATCCTAGCTACTCCTAGGGAGGCTGAGATCTGAGGATCATGGTTCAAAGCCAGCCCAGGCAGGAAGGTCTTTAAGACTCCTATCTCCAGTGAACCACCAGAAAACCGGAAGTGGTGCTGTGACTCAAAGGGGGTAGAGTGCTCATGTTGAGCAAAAGAGCTCAGGGACAGTGGCCAGTCCTTGAGTTCAAGCCCCATGATGGACGAGAGAGAGAGAGAGAGAGAGAGAGAGAGAGAGAGAGAGAGAGAGAGAGGAAGGAAGGAAGAAAGGAAGGAAGGAAGGAAGGAAGGAAGGAAGGAAATACAGCTACCAAGAAGTAGCAGGGAGAAGAAATAAGACATCAGTGATCCTCAGCTGACCAAGGGAACCCTCCAGAAGGTCAGAGATTATACTGTTGTCCCAGCCATCCCCAGAGGCTCCTTGTCTTTTTTTTTTTGGGTCCGGTTGTGGGGCCTGAACTCTGGGCCTGGGCGCTGTCCCTCAGCTCTTCAGCTCAAGGCTAGCGCTCTACCACTTGAGCCACAGCACCACTTCTGGCTTTTTTTCTTTTTGCTTATGTGGTGCTGAGGAATTGAACCCAAGGCCTCATGCATGCAAGGCAAGCGCTCTACCACTGAGCCACCTTCCCAGCCCTCTCCTTGTCTTTAGATAAGAGGAAGAAGAAAGAAAAGAGGAGGAGGAGGAGAAGGGGAGGAGAAGAAGAGGAGGAGTAGGAGGAGGAGAAGGGGAGGAGGAAAAGAGGAAGAAAAGGAGGAAGAGGAGAAGAATTAGAGAAGGAGGAGGAAGAAGAGGAGAAGAAGAGGAGGAGAAGAGGAGGAGGAGGAGAAGGAGAAGAAGAGAAGGGGAGGAGGATGAAGAAGAGAAGGGGAGGAAGAGGAAAAGAAGAAGGGGAGGAGGAGGAGAAAGGGAGGAGGGGAGGAGGAGGAGGAGAAGAAGGAGGAGGAGGAGGAAGAAGACAAGAAGAGGAGGAGGAGGAAGAGGAGGAGGAGGTAGCTTTCTGCTACCCTCTTGCTGGACCTCTCCTGCTCTTCTCCACCAGCCCATCCATCTTTCCAGGTGCCAGCTGGTGTAATGACAGCAGGTGGTCAGAGGGGGGCAGCACTCTGCAGCGCTCCCTGAAGCAGGCTGGGCCTCCCTGCCCTGGAGATCTCTGCTACTTCTGCTACCACAGAAGGCTAGCATCCCCCTCAACCCTCCACTCCCCCCCCCCCACCATAGTCACACCCTCTCCCTTAGAAGCCCGTCAGCCCTCTCCCTTCCCTCCAACTGCAGAGCTGTGTCCGTGGGAGCCAAGGCCTATCCTCCCCCCACCCCCCCATCCCAGACCTACCTGTCCCGGAGAGCATCAGCATCGTAATAGGCACAGGCCCCTCTCCTCCCGGAGCACTGCAGATTCCACCGGATACAGGAGGCGTCAATGGTGAGGCCGTATAGGGCTGGGGCTGGTAACCAGGCTGGTGGCAGCAGGGGGAAGTGGGAAGGGGAGGGGAAGGGGGAGAAGAGTCCAGAGAGCAGGGTCACAGGGAGGTGGAGGCAGGGATGGGTCCTCACATCCACATGCCCCCCTCCGCCGCGCCCCGTGTGCGGTTCACTGGTGGGAATGGCTCTGCCCTGTTCTCAGGAGTTCCAGAGACTTGGGAAAGCAGAATAGGGGTGTCAGCAAAGTCTGAATTCCCTTTTTACCAGGAGGCTTAGAAGATCAAAGAGGCCTAGGTCATCTTCTTGGGATGGGATGCGTCAGAGAGTCAAAGAGATGTTAGGTCAGACAGCATCACTTCTATTGCGTGTGTGTATGTGTGTGTGTGTGTGTGTGTGTGTGTGTGTGTTGTTACTGGGGTTTGAACTCATGGTTCTGGAGCTCTTCAACTCTTGAGACACAAGCTCCACTTCCTGCTTTTTCTCCTTTTTCTTTTCTTATTTTGTTCGGTCGTGGGGCTTGAACTCTGGGCCTGGGCGCTGTCCCTCAGTTCTTCAGCTCAAGGCGGGTGCTCTACCACTTGAGTCTCAGCACCACTTTTGGTTTTCTGGTGGTTCACTGGAGATCAAAGTCTCACAGATTTTCCTGGCCGGGCTGGCTTTGAACTGTGACCCTCAGATCTCAGCCTCCTGAGTAGCTAGGATGACAGATGTGAGCCACCAGTGCCTGGCTCAGAAATTTGCTCTGGAGGGTATCAGCCTCCCAAGTTCTCAGGGAAACCCCTGTGTGTCAGACAGCCTTGATGTAACCAAGAAAACGTGAGCTTGGCCATTTTCACTTAGGATCAGGACTAGACACAGAGGCATAGATCACGATTGTTCAAATCCTACATCTATCACTCCCTGATTGGATTAGATAACCCTACTTCCAGATACCTGACTGCTCAGAGCCTGGGCCCCAACAGATGATAGGCCTTAGTGGCTGTGGAATATTCTAGAGACCTCCCTGTATGTTCTGAGTCCTTCATGATGTCTAGGCAGCCCACTGGAGGTTCTTGTCTGGAATATTACACTGCCAAGAACAGCCTCACAATCTATTCAGGACTCTGAGAACTGGACTTTCAAGATACCTCCCAAATAGGAAACAAGCCTAGAAGAATCCTCAGCCAAATCCTCTGGTACCTCTGACAGGAAGTACTCCTGGGGGAGCACTTGTGGAGGGGGTAAGGGGGGTTTCCTCTGGGCTCCTTGAGGACAGACAGGGTTTGCAGGCAGACAACCTCTCCACCGGAGAGAGGTAGGAGGAATCTATTTTGTCAAGTTGGGAAAGAAAGCCAAGGCTGCAGGCCTGGGCTGCTTTTCTTTTTTTCTGTCTGGGGTATAAGCATGTTGTAGGGTTTTTTTTTTTTTTTTTTTATTCCTACGGCAAATTCTTGGAGACAAGATTCTTTCTTATTTTTTTAAATACCCGCTTTTAACTCTGTTATGAGGTATTCTCAGCTGGTTTTGGTTTTTTGCATTTTGCTTGCATAATTTGGTTTGGAATGAAGGCCGTAGATGAGATCTTTCCTACCCTCGAGCAAGCAGGAAAGCCATCTGGCTGGGGGGGAGGGTGAGCCCTCCCTCTCCCCAAATAAGATGTAGGGGGCTTCCCTCAACCCAGCCTTGTGCCCCAAAACCCTTGCATGGCTACAGGCTGAAGCCGCGACTCCCAAAAGGGATCAGGGGACACTGTCTTTGAGGCGTACCTAGCAAGCGCATCAGCAAGAACTGTACTCCGATGGCAAAAGACTTCTCATCTTGGTTTACCACCCTGCAAAGAGAAAGAGGAACTCAGGAATGGGATGGTTCACCCCAGCTGAATGCTCCAAATAGATCTGTGGTTTTGGTTTTGGTTTTGAACCCTGAGCCTGGGCACTGTCTCTGAGCTCTTCAGCTCAAGGTGAGCGCTCTACCACTTGAGCCACAGCACCACTTCCGGTTTTCTGGTAGTTCACTGGAGATCAGAGTCTCATGGACTTTCCTGGCCCAGGCTGGCTTTGAACTGAGATCCTCAGATCTCAGCCTCCTGAGTAGCTAGGATGACAGGCGTGAGCCACCAGTGCCCGGCTCCATGAGACTCTTATCACCAATGAACCACCAGGAAGCCAGAAGTAGTAGAGCTGTAGCTCAAATGGTAGAGTTTCCACTTTGAGTGAGAAAGCTAAGGGATAGACCAGATCCTTAGAATAAGCCCAGGACCACACACACACACACACACACACACACACACCCCTCCACGCACACACATGCACGCATGCCTGCACACACAAGAAACACTAAGCTAGGACCTAAAGATCTGTGTTTCTACAGGGGATGGCTGACATGAGCTCAGGTTTGAGAATCACTGGTCCATACTGTTTTCAAGGATCCTCAAAACCCCCTTAAAGAGCAACAAAGCAGGAGAGGCAGGCCTTGGGAGGAGGATTTGCTGGCTCAAGTCTGATCAAGTTCCTTAGAGTGTCTTCTAGAAGACAGCTGTGTTGTAATTAGGGCCCCCGGGGCTGCTGGCTTCTGTGCAGATTCAAGAATGTCTTGCTCCAGGCCGGCGTTGTGGGCTCACGATCCAAGCAGCTGCACAGGACCCCACCTTTAGAAGGGCCTAGTAGGGCCAGATTTCTCCCCCTCTTTGCTCCCTTCAAGAAGAGGGAAGTTAGCCAGGCACCGGTGGCTCACACCCATCATTCTAGCTACTCAGGAGGCTGAGATCTGAGGATTGCAGTTCAAAGCCAGCCCAGGCAGGAAAGTCCTTGGGACTTCTTCTCTCCAGTGAACCACCAGAAAACCAGCGTTGTGGCTCACATGGTAGAGCGCTCACCTTGAGCTGAATAGCTGAGGGACAGTGCCCAGGCCCAGAGTTCAAGCCCCACAACAGACGAAAGAAAGAAAGAAAAGTGGGTTATGTGGGGGTCTCCAGGGGGTACCACTCACCGTAGGACCATCATGTAGAGAGGGTTGTGGGAGATGCAGGCGATCAGTGCTACAAAGGAGATGAGGAAGATGGCTGGGAGGAGGAAGTGGGCACAGGAGATGGGGCACGATCCAGTCTTGGCTGAAGCAGATACTCCCGTCACACAGCTGCAGTTCAAGTAGACCTTGAAGAAGAAAGGAAACTTCCCGTGACGATCTCCATGATTTCACACAGATCAAAAGCTAGCATCGGGGCTGGGAAGGTGGCTCAGTGGTAGAGCGCTTGCCTTCCATGCCTGAGACCCTGGGTTCGATTCCTCAGCACCACATAAGCAAAAAGAAAAAAAGCTGGAAGTGGCGCTGTTGTGGCTCAAGTGGTAGAGCGCTAGCCTTGAGCTGAAGAGCTGAGGGACAGCACCCAGGCCCAGAGTTCAGGCCCCATGACCAGACCCAAAAAAACCAAAAGCCAAAAACCAAAAAAACAAATGCTGGCACTAAGCCAGGGGCGCCGGGGGCTCATGTCTGTCATCCTAGCTACTCAGGAGGCTGAGATCTGAGGATGGAGGTTCAAAGCCAGCCCGGGCAGGAAAATCTGAGACTCTGATCTCCAATAAACCACCAGAAAACCAGAAGTGGTATTGTGGCTCACATGGTACAGCATTCACCTTGAGCTGAAGAGCTAAGGGACAGCACCCAGGCCCAGAGTTCAAGGCCTACAACCAACCAAAAAAAAAAAAATGTGGTCACTAGCCATAAAAGAAATGCGAATCAAAACAACATTGAGATACCACCTCACCCCAGTTAGAATGGTTATCATCAAGAACTCTAATAACAACAGATGCTGGAGGGGATGTGGACAGAAAGGAACCTTTGGCCACCTTTGTTGGTGGGAGTGTAAACTTGTTCAACCACTTTAGAAAGTAGTATGGAGGGTCCTCAAAAGACTCTGCATAGAGCTCCCCTATGAGCCAGCAATCCCACTTTTGGGCATTTATCCAAATGATCACAAACAAGACCAGACTAAAGCTACCAGAAAAAAAAATGTGGGCTCATAGCTCTCTGTAGGGCATCGTATTAGGTTATGCTCTTCCAGAGAAAGAACATCTAACTCCTAGCGAGCCTGGCCTTCCAATTCTGGCCCATCCATTCACTGGTTGGGTGAGACATGCCTTACTTGGAACTTGCCGGGTGCATTCTTGTATCAGCCTTTGAACGTGATGTTCCTTGGACCTGCAGTGTTTTAGTTCCAGGTCTCCGTGATCTCTTTCTGCTTGTTCTATTGTCCCCTCCCCAGGGAGGACCTCCCAGATGGTCCCTGTCTCATTAAATCTCTCCCTGCCTCTATCTAGGCATTTATTTGCTAGGATGTGTGTCCCATAGGAGCAGAATCTTGGTCTGGTATCCAACCCTCTCTCTCCGCTTCCCCTAGTACATCCTTAGCACCACGCCTGTGACAGTGCTGAATAACTGGTGTGTGTGTGTGTGTGTGTGTGTGTGTGTGTGTGTGTGTGATTAGTGGGGCTTGAACTCACGCCCTGGGCACTGTCCCTGAGTCTCTCTGTGCTCAAGGCTAGGTGAGCCACAGCACCACTTCCGGCTTTTACTGTGTATGTGGTATTGAGGAATCAAACCCAGGGCTTCATGCATGCTAAGCAAGCACTCTACCACTGAGCCACCATCCTAGGCCTGTCCCTTAGCTTTATTTTTTTTTATCAAGTCTGGCACTCTACCACTTGAGCTAACGCTCTATTTCTGGTGGAGTGGGTTTTTTATTTTTTGTTTTTGTTTTTATTTTTATTTTTTTTTTTGGTGGTGGTTAATTGCAGAAAAAGAGCCTCACAGATTTTCCTGCCTGGATGGACTTTAAACCATGATCCTCTGCCTTCTGAGTGGATCTCTGAGTAGATTTGAGTCAATCTGACTCAATGTCTGCCTTCTGAGTAGCTTGAAGTTCAGGTACCTGTCACCGGTATGCCATGTACATGTGCTGAATAATTAACCAATGATTTGAGTTGGTTTCTGGTTGGCTGATCTCAGAAGAATCTGCTACCCCAGAGCTCACTAGGGATGGACAGGGCTTGGCCAACAGACTACACAGTTGCTGCCAGCTGTCCAAGTAGAAGGCTAGTGACCAAGAGACACCCAGCCTTGGACACAAGTGTCCAGATCTGCCTCTTTATAGCTGCATGGTACATGGCACCTCTGGGAGCTGAGGGTCAAAGTAATCGCTCCTGCTGGGCACCAGTGGCTCACACCTTTACATCTCAGCTACTCAGGAGGCTGAGATCTGAGGATCACAGTTCAAAGCCAGCCCAGATAAGGAAAGTCTGTGAGACTCTGATCTGCAAGGAACCACCAGAAAACCAGAAGTGGCATTGTGGTTTAAGTGGTAGAGCGCTCTCACCTTCAGCTGAAGAGCTGAGGGATGGAACCCAGGCCCAGAGTTCAAGCCCCACAACCGACCTAGCTCCGTGCTTGGATTTGCTGAAGCATTATGAGGCTTCTAGAATGAACTGGTTGGACACAGGCCAGTCTTTGACTTTGGGGCTGCCAGCATCCGGTCCATGACCTCAGGGGAGGGGAGGCGGAGAGAGGATGGGTGGGACGGGGAGGAGGCCAGGATGTCGGTCGGACTGGACACTGTCCCTGAGACCAAGGTGTGGTCTGTTAGACCCTGGCTGGCCCTTACCGCTCGCTTGGAGGTGACAGAGCTCATGTTGATGTTGCTACAGCCGGCGTGGCAAGGGGAAAGATACTCGACTCCATTGTCTCCACAGACCGGGTGGAAGATGGCATCCGGGCACAAGCAGTCCCTGCGGCAGGCGGGAGGCTGCGGATGTATAGAACTTGGTGTGCTGCCAGTAAAGCAGGAAGCGAGGGATCAAACAAAGCCAAAAAAAAAAAAGAAAAAGAAAAAAGTCCAAGAAACAAATCTACACTGCAGCCCCATGTGAGTTCCTGGGCTGGTTCACGTGTCTGTGTGTCTCTGTTTGTCTTGGGCTACTGCCCTTCTGGGATCTGAAGTATGAAGAGAGTTGCCAACGGTGACTCTACCACTGTTTGGGATCATGGCCTTTCTGTTTTTTTTCTTTTTTCTTTTCCTGATGCTTGGAGACCAAACCCATCATTACTCAGAAAGACCGGGTCAGAGCCGGGGCGTCGGTGGCTCACGCCTGTTATCCTAGCTCCTCAGGAGGCTGAGATCTGAAGATCGTGGTTCAAAGCCAGCCCTGGGCAAGGAAAGCTCATGAGACTCTCATCTCCGATAAAGCACCAGAAAACCGGAAGTGGTGCCGTGACTCAAGTGGTAGAATGCTCCCCTTGAGCTGAAGCTGGGTGGGTGGAAGGCAAAGACTCCCTCTGCTTAAGGCAATCAATTTGGAGCTCTCATTGGCTGCCTGTCTTTGGGGCCAATGAGATAGCACCCCGGCCAACCACAGCCCTGTGAACTTCAAACCAAAGGAATTCCCGTCCCCCACCGTCCCGCCCCCATTGGCGGATCTTGGTAATCTCTGGGGGAAGTCTGTGATAGTGTCTAAAAATCAAGATCATTAATATTTATAGGCATCTTAGGTGCCAGGCTTCCAGTGCTCAGGGCCTTTTCCTATCACAAGAAGTTTACCATGAATAAGAAAACTGAAGCTGAGCTGGGATAACTGGCATCCTTCATGAGAGTTCTGTAATGAAAGACCTTGGTCTGATCTGTTGGTATGTGTTGAGCATTGTGAAAGCCACAAAGGCAAAAAAAAAAATTAAAATAAAATTCTGGGTTTCTCTTGATTGGCTTATCAGCCCCCCAGGACAACCCCAAGCTGCTCACCCTAAATACCCACCCTCGTAACCCTTCTTCTCCACCTACCAGAGTCAGAGGAGGTTAATGCAGAAAGAAAGAATAGGGCTGGGAAGGTGGCTCAGTGGTAGGGAGCTCGCCTTGCATGCATGAGGCCCTGGGTTCAATTCCTCAGCACCACAGACACAGAAAAAGCAGGCACTGTGTGGCTCACATGGTAGAATGCTAGCAAAAGAAGGTCAGGGACAGCACCCAGGCCCTGAGTTCAAGCTCTACGACTGGCCAAAAATTAAAAAAAAAAATAGAAGAAGAAAGAAAGAAAGAATATGCAGAGCTGGGGAGGGACTAGCGTGCTTGCTTCGCATGCATGAGGCCCTGGGTTCAGTTCCTGGGTACCACAGACACACAAAAATAAATACATAAAAAGAATACGCATTGGGTCTCCAGCTCTTGCAGCCTCATTAGGCAAAGCCCAAGAGCAAAAGTTATCGCCAGACGGTGCCCAAGAACCACCGGACAGTAGTAAGTCTTCCCCTTGTAGTCCTCAGAGGCTAGGCTCAAAACTTACAACTTCACTGGACGCCAGTGGCTCACATCTATAATCCTAGCTACTCAGGAGGCTGAGATCTGAGGGGTTGCAGTTTGAATCCAGCCCAGGCAGGTTAAGTTCATGAGACATTTACCCCTAAAATTAACCACCAGAAGTAGACATGTGGCTCAAACGGGAGCGCACCATCAGTCTTGAGCGAAAAAGTTAAGGGACAGTGCCCAGATCCCGAGTTCAAGCCCCAGTACCAGCATACAAACATACAAACATACACCCCCTCCCCTCAACTTACCACTTCCTTTCAGCCCCTCCACCTCACCCACCCTAATTTCCAATCTACCGCAGCCTTCACTTTTCTCCCAGTCTTTTCAAGAAGCCCTGTTGTCTTTCTTTACCTGTTCAATGAGTAATTCTAGCTGGCCCTTGGAGCTGATGCTACACATAGATTATTTCCTAGTTCCTGAGGCTCAGGTTTACCCTGAAACCAAGCTAATTAGTTTTGGTGGGAGGGGGTGCTTCTGAAAAAAAACAACAACAACAACAACAACCCAACAGAGCCCTGATTGTGGATAGCTTCCTTAGAACACTGTGATCTTCACTCATAACGGAACCTACTATTAAAGACCTGATTTCCTAGGTTGCTCTATGAGAGATCAGATCAAGAGAAGAGAGGAGAGGAGAGGAGATGGGAAAAGAGGGGAGTGGAGGGGTAAGAAGATGCGTGGGGAGGGTCAAAAAGCAAGATTAACTGTCAGCAGGATTCAGGCTCTGGCTTAATCAAGGCCATCTGGGCAGCAGAGCCCTTTACTCCCATTACCTGGGTGGGTAGACCTCAGACACGGCCGAGGCAGAGCATCCCATGAAGAAGAGGGGGATACAGAGGATGGTGGAGATGGTGATGATGGTGGCGGCCACACGGGGGATGGTTTGCAAAGAGAAAGCGAACCGTTTCATGAGGATTCCTCCAAACAGCATCCCCAAGGCTGCCGCGGGGAGGTTTACAGCACCTACAAATGGTGAGAAGGAGCTGGGATCTCCAAAAGAAAAGGTCAAAACAACCCTGAGATACCATCTCACACCGGTCAGAGCAGCCAACGCTGTGAATTGAGACAGCAACCAATGTTGGTGGGAATGGGGGAAGGGGGGGAGGAATATTACTGCGTGCACCGTCGGTGGGATTGTAAACTTGCACACAACTACTCCAGACAGCAGTCTGGAGGTTTCTCAGAAAGCTACACATAGATCTTTGCTACGACCCAGTCATACCACTCCTGGGCATCTGCCTAGAACATTATGAGTCAGGATACCATCAAGACACCTGCACAACCACGTTCATTACTGCACTACTCACAACAGCCAAAATACAGAAACAGCCCAGATGCCCTGCTAGAAGAATGGTTCCAAAAATGTGGTACCTATTCACAGTGAAATTTTATACAACCATTAGAAAGAATCATATATCATCTGGGGGGAAGTGGATGGACCTAGAACAAATAATGTTGAGGGAGGCAAGCCAAGCTCAGAGAGACAAACAGCGCATGTTTTCTCTCATATGTGGAAGCTGGATCTAAAATATCCTGGGATATGATAAACTATACAGGCTTCTAGACACACTCAGTGAGACCGAAATCGGATACTGTTAGGGGACAAACTCATAAGCACTGCTTATGTGTCTCTTTACATTTACAAAAAATTATATATATATATATATATATATAATACGTATATATAATTATATTGAAATGTAAGAAAAGAAGGGTGCGGGGCTGGGAAGGTGGCTCAGTGGTAGAGCACTTGCCTTGCATGCCTGAGACCCTGGGTTCGATTCCTCAGCACCACATAAGCAAAAAGAAAAAAGCCGGAAGTGGCGCTGTGGCTCAAGTGGTAGAGCACTAGCCTTGAGCTGAAGAGCTGAGAGACAGCGCCCAGGCCCAGAGTTCAGGCCCCATGACCAGAACCAAAAACAAAACAAAACAAAACAACAACAACAAAAAAGAAGCGTGCATTACATCCTAAACCCTGGATATGTTCAGTTTTACTTGTAACTGTACAGAATTAATTCATTGAAATTAGTTGACTGCTTACTATTGGCTAGGCACTTTTGAGAGCTACTGTCTCTCTTGTTTTAATGATAGTATTAGGACTGGAACTCAGGATCTCATGCTCTTGTTTAGCTTTTTCTGTTCAAGGCTGGTATGCTGCTTCTTAAACTATTCCATAACTTCTATTTTTTTTTTTTTGTCTACTCAGGCTACCTTTAAACTGTGATCTTTCAGATATCAGTGTTCTGAGGGGGGTGGTGTGAGGATTACAGGCGTGAGCCTTAGGACCTGGCTTTCGAGAATTATCTTCCGGAGAGGATTTTTAGAAGTCGTACTTTTATTTTTCCTTACCAGGTCTGGCTTCTGACCAGCTAGTTCAGAGACTGAAGACCAGAGGGGTTCATGATAGACTATGGCCACACACAAAAAATGTCACCCACAAATCTCATGCTCTGGATACCCTAACCACCTTGTGGAAACCACAGGGTTAAATTCACCTGAGGGCTGGGCCTGATAATTCACTTGGAAGCTTGGTGGATCATGCCCCTGGTTTTATAAAATAAAATAGCTGGGCACCAGTGACTCACACCTGTCATCCTAGCTATTCAGGAGGCTGAGATCTGAGGATTGTGGTTCAAAGCCATCCCGGGACAGGAAAGTCCATGAGACTCTTATCTCCAATGAACCACTCAGAAAACGGGAAGTGGCACTGTGTCTCAAGTGGTAGAGTGCCAGCCTTCAGCTGAAGAGCTCAGGGACAGCGCCCAGTCCTTGAGTTCAAGCCCCAAGGCCGACAAAAAAATAAATAAATAAAATAAGATACTGAAGCCACCTCTGTTCCCTGTGGATTCTGGACTCGTTTCCCTGCATGGGGCTGAGCATCTGCACTCAGTAAAGCTCTTCAGAGAGACCAGAAGTACAGCAGGGCTGGAGTCACCGGACACACATCCTCTTTCCAAAGCAAAAGTATTCAGACGCAGGAAAATACCCAGGAGGCACTGCATCTACTCCCACATCCTCCCACCCAACCTCAATTCCATCTTCGCTTGGTTCTGGTGAGGTATCCCAGACTTCCAGTCTCTTGATGGGGAGGAAGGAGGTAGCCCTGGAGCCTCCACCCACTCCCCGAATGGAACAGCAAGCGTTCTCAGCAACCTGCCAAGAACCTTCTAGAATGCCAACTGGGGAGGGGGGGGGGGGGGAGATGTCCTTAACATTCTTTCTCCCTGGCAAGCTCTCCTGTCTCTCCTGTTGTGTATCCGGGGTCTGGCCTTTGGCTCTTCCTGGATGGACAGCAGAGGGCCCATTCCCTCCTTTCCTTTAGGCCGATCCACCGGCTCCTGCTGGAAGTACCGATGAGGAAGTTGGCATAGGCTGCGGAAGCTCCGTATTGCTTCTCCAGGAACTTGTTGAGGAACGTAGAGAGGCCGGCGATGACAGAAGAGAAGCAGCATTGAGCCAGGACCACCAGCATGAACAGGGGGTTCATCAGGAGCCTCAGGAAGATGTGAGGGAACCCTACAAAGCGGAGACAGCTGTCAGGAGCCAGGTCTTGGGGGTTACCTTCCCTCCCCCCTCCAAAAAAAAAAAAACTATCTCAGGACGGTCCGCCACTCTACCGCCTCCTCGCCACCTGTATGGCCTTTTCCCCAGAGCTGAATCCAAGGCACCATGATGTACGAGCAGCCAGTCTAGGGTGCCCGCCCCCCACCCCCCCAACGAAACACGGGGAACACCCACTCCATGGGCCCAGTGGGCTGATAGAAACAAGGATGTCACTGAGAAATCTGGTGGCGGAGAGATGAAAATAGAACCGATGCTGGAAGCAGTCTCCTCTCGTGACTCCTGTTTCCACACCCACGAAGAGATGGGAGAAAGAAAGGAGGGCTAGATCATGGGGGGGGGGGGGGGTTGAGGACTGACTGCTTGAACTGAGTCCCCCGATACCTGTGAGAAAGTCACCGGGATCGCAGTTCTAAGCCACAGCCACCCCTCTCCCCCAGAAGATCGGGCCAGACTTCTTGTACACCTGACCATCTCCTCTCCTCAGAGCCAGCCCCCCTACCCCCCATCCCCCTCCCCACCCCGCCCAGCAGGTCTGCTGGGCTGGATAGTTACGTTTAATGAACTCCAGCAGGGAGCCTCTAGACTTGACATCTTCCATCTTCCTGGCTTCATCTGCTAAGGCCGGGGATCTCTGAGGATAGCAGCAAAAGGGGTGAATGTTAATGACCTATCCTTGGTGGACTTTGACCCACTGTGGCTCAGGGCTGTCCCTCAGCTCTTCAGCTCAAGATGAGCGCTCTACCACTTGAGCCACAGCGCCACTTGCGGTTTTCTGAGTGGTTTATTGGAGATCAGAGTCTCACGGACTTTTCCTGCCTGGGGCTGGCTTTGAACCGCGATCCTCAGATCTCAGCCTCCCGCAAGCATGAACTCTGGAGGTAAACACCCACCTGTATTTCTTGGCAGGAGGCCAGACTATCTCTGTGCCAGCAACTCCTACAGCACCTATGGGCATATTACTTAATAGCTAACTTTCCCATGACTGTTGCCAGGAGTATCTTCTTGGACCCCCCCTGCCCTTTTCTTGTCTATCTGGTCATAGCTATACCCCAGATCCCATGGGCTACAGGTTCCTGGGTCTCTATGATCTAGCCATTTCCCTGTTTTCAAGTCTCCATTTCTGTGTCCCTCTCTGAGATCTGAGGTTCCTACTTCCTCCTAGGCTTAAAGGCAAATCCTGCCTCCCTCAAGCTCTATTCTTGTCCTTAACCCGTCCTTAAGCTAGTGCTTAACCACTGGCATACAGTCTCAGTGGTGCTAGAACTCGTCGCTCAACTCTGGAGCCCTGCCACTGATAGAATCCACCAGGGCAGCTCTGCCCTGGGGAAGAGACCGACCGCTCCCTTTCAGCGAGTGCTTGCTCCAAGCTGGGCGCCATGCCCAGCATTGCACACACAAAACACACACACACACACACACAGAGTCTCACTCCTCACCACTTCCTTCCCAGGTAGACACTTTTAATGATCTCCAGTATTCAAAAAAGAAGAGGAAGATTTAGAAACAAAGCCGATTGCTTAAGATCACTCAACTAGCTTTTAAGTAGCAACGCTGCGTTGAAATCCAGGTATAAGCCTCACCCCAAACCACTAAGACTTGTTGTCAAGTGCTGCTGAAATTCCTTCCCAGGGTAAACTAAGCTTTCTCTATTCCTATTCCCACCAACCCCCACCCCACACCATTTCCCTCTTCTCACTGCTGGGCCCAGGGTTTATTTTTCTTTCTTTTGTCAGCTGTGGGGCTTGAACTCTAGGCCTGGGCGCTGTCCCTCAGCTCTTCAGCTCAAGGCAAGTGCTCTACCACTTGAGCCACAGCGCCACTTCTGGTTTTCTTAGTAGTTTATTGGAGATAAGAGTCTCATGGACTCTTCCTGCCCAGGCTAGCTTTGAACCGAGATCCTCAGATCTCAGCCTCCTGAGTAGCTAGAATGACAGGTGTGAGCCACCAGCGGCCGGCTGGGCCCAGGGTTTCTTATACCTCATTGCTCTATATTGAGCTCTACTTCTGATTGAAAACACAGGCAAACACGATCTCTTTTTCCGACCCAGCTCACTGCTGAGCTCTTCCTGGCACCCCTGGAGGAACATCTAGTCTGGCCCTTGTCCTAGCTGCCGATGGCAGGTCCTTCCTGGTTGATCTCCTGAGTCCTTACCTGAATCTCCACCTCTTCACCTGGGCCTTTTCAGATCTTCTAGCTTTCTCATTCCTTCCTAACACCCATCCTCAACCTAGCTGCCAGAACTTCACCGGCATAAAACAAGATTTGAGACCCTCCTGTTGTGTCACATTAAGGCTTACCCCATCTCCTGCGCCCTCATTTCTTTCCCACAGCACCCAAGGGTGCATCATTTAATATCTTTTAGTATTGGGATATCCTCTCAGCCCTTCATATGCAAACCCTCAAAGGCTTTTTAAGTGTAAAAGGAAATCATGCCACATTACCTGCTCATATTTATTGACTTTTGTGTGTGTGTGTGTGTGTGTGTGTGTGTGTGTGTGTGTGTGTGTGCACGCGTGCATGTGCTTAAACTCAGGGCCTGGGTACTGTCCCTGAGCTTATTTTGCTCAAGGCGGGCACTCTACCACTTCAGCCACAGCTCTACTTCCAGCTTTTTGGTGATTACTTAGAGATAACAGTCTCATGGACTTTCCTGTCCAGGCTGGCTTCAAACCTTGATCCTTAGCTCTTTCTTTTTTTGGGGGAAGAGGGGGGGTCCAGTCATGGGGCCTGAACTCTGGGCCTGGGCAATGTCCCTCAGCTCTTCAGCTCAAAGTGAGCGCTCTACCACTTGAGTCACAGCGCTACTTCCGGCTTTTTTCTTTTTGCTTATGTGGTGCTGAGGAATTGAACCCAGGGCCTCATGCATGCAAGGCAAGCGCTCTACCACTGAGCCACCTTCTTAGCCCTGATCCTTAGATCTTTAGCCTCCTGAATATCTAGGATTAGAGGCATGAGCCACCGGCACCTGGATTTATTGATTCAATTCTTTCCTTTTCCTTCCTTCCTTTCCTTTCTTCCTTCCTTCGTTCCTTCGTTCCTTTCTTCCTTCCTTCCTTCATTCCTTCCTTCCTTTCTCCCTTCCTTCCTTCCTTCCTTCCTTCGTTCCTTTTCTTCCTTCCTTCCCTCCTTTCTTTCCTCTCCTTCCTCAGGCCTCAGGCATGCTAAGTAAGCACTCTACCACTTGAGCAACACCTCCAGTCCACATGCCTCTCTTTTCTGACTCCTGTCAGTAGAGTCATGGACTGCCAAAAACTTACCTCTGCCTCTCTGGGCATTGCTCTAGGGAAGAAAAAGAAGGGGAAAGAGGTGAGAACCAGGAAGCCTGAAGAAATGAGCAGGCCCAGCCACCAGGCTCCAATCCACCGAGGGTCACCAGGGCTCAAGTTCACTGTAGCTGCAGAGAAACCAAAGAAGACAAGTGTTGAACGTACACATGAGCTCACTGTATGGGGAAGGGAAACCATTCAGGGGGGTGTTTCCTGCTTTTTGTTTTTGTCAGTCATGGGGCCTGAACTCAGGGCCTGGGCGCTGTCCTTGAGCTTTTCTGCTCAAGGCTATAGCACCCTACCACTTTGAGCCACAGTGCCACTTGTGGTTTTCTGGTGGTTCATTGCAGATAAGAATCTCACAGGGACTTTTCTGGCTGGCTTTGAACTGCGATCCTCAGATCTCAGCCTCCTGATTAGCTAGGATCCTAGGCATGAGCCACCGGCGCCTGGTCAGAGGGTGATTAATTAGCTTTCTTCTCATAATAGAGACAACGCAAGCTATGAGCTAGGACCTTGATCAGGACAACGTTTCTTCTCCAGGCCATTCTAGTCTTTCCAAAGAGCCAAGGCCATAGTATAGGAATCTCAGAATTAGGAGGTCATAAGGTCGCAGCCCCTGGCACAAATAACAGTGGCAGCCATGGTCTCTCCAGAGGGTTTACCACGGTACAGACCGATCCTACTGTTCAGATCTCACTTTCATCCTACCGTTTTCTCCTAGCACATCTGTGAAGTGGGAATGACATCTCTCTGTCCCTAACCAATCAGGAAACTGAGCATTTGAGAGGTTGAGGCCCTTGTCCATGATTAAGGCTAAGTATCATTTTATCCAAAAAATTTCAAACCTGCCTTCCTAGTAACCCAACCTACACTCTTTTTTTTATTTCTAATTTACTTTATTGTTGTTTTAGAGGTGATACACACCATATGTTGGGAATAAGTATGTTTCCTTTTGCATAGTTTCATCTGTTCCCTCATTCTCTCCCATTCCCTCTCTTCCCGTCTCCATCTATGAGTTGCATAGTTCACTTTCCTCCATGTCCAGTGCTCCCCACTGCTGCACTTTTCCCACCCTTTTCCCTCTGATTCTGTGCCCTCCCCCCACCTTCCTACAGATGTGCGCATGAATACACCACATATGAAGTAGGGAATACAGAATCAGAAAAAGAAAACAATGAATTAAGGAAAGAAGTCCTTTGTTCCCATATCTTTGGAGTTCCTTTCAGTATGTATACTATCATATATATATATATATATAATACACACACATATATATTATATAATATATAATATGTTATACATATGTATATAACATAGATGCGTATATGTGTGTGTGTGTGTGTGTGCGTGTATTGTACCTTTGTGATTCTCTCCTAAGACTACCCTCTTTTGGTCTCGCTGTATGTGAGCATCTAGAAGTCTATGCAACTTGTCCGATCCCAGTGCCATTTTAGATCTGACTTCCACATATCAGGGAGAACATGCACTGTTTGTCTCTCTGATCTCGGTTTACCTCACTTAACATGATTTGTTCTAGTTCAATCCATTTCCCTGCACATTACATTATTTTATTCTTTCTAATGGTGACGGAAAATTTCATTGTACCTAGGTACCACATTTTTTGGATCCACTCATCTATTGTCCAGCCTATACTCTTAACCACTGAACTTTACTCATTCACAACTGTACTGATCCATACAAAAGATGGGCCCCGATAATCCCTAGGGGTCTGAGGAAACAGTCATTAACAGCAACCTTGGGATAGGCTTTTCCCTCTCAACTAGCTAGAAGCCTGCCATTTTGTTCCCCCATGCAAACAATCCACATGGGAACAGACAGAAGGAGAAGGTGGCAGAACAGTTCCCAGTCACAATGATAAGCACCCTTGGGTGCTATATCAGGTAGACCAGAAGTTCAGTTGATGATCAATTTGGGTAGCCAAAAAATCAGGAACCAACTCATATAGAGTACCAGCAAGAAGGCAAAGATGGCTTGATCTCAAGGAACAAACTTTCCTGGCTTGCCACTGTTCCTTTCCTCTCTATTCCTTCCTTTTCAATCTGGTCTGATCCTCACAGCAATAGTATTTTACTATCACTGGGCCCAGGTGAGGAAACTTAATCACAGAAAGTTGAAGTTATGCCGGGCGCTGGTTGGTTATGCCTGTAATCCTAGCTACTCAGGAGGCTGAGTCTGAGGATCAATAAACCACCAGAAAACCAGAAGTGGCTCTGTGGCTCAGAGTAGTACAGTACAAGCCTTGAGCAAAAGAGCTCAGGAACAACACCCAGGTCCTGAGATCAAGCCTCACCCATTGACCAAAAAAAAAAGAAGTTACATGGCTAATGTCATTAGCAAGAGGTGGGTCTGGGATTAAATACAGGCAGCCCAATATGAGGCCCACATGGTTATAGGTTATGCCTGGATAAGAAGTATAGACCTAGATATATCTGTGTGTGTGGGGGGGGGCGTTGTAGGGCTTGAACTCTGGGCCTGGGCACTGTCCCTCAGCTCTTTAGCTCAAGGCAAGCGCTCTACCACTTGAGCCACAGTGCCACTTCTGGTTTTCTGGTGGTTTATTGGAGATAAGAGACTCATGGACTTTCATGCCCAGGCTGGCTTTTGAACCTCGATCCTCAGATCTCAGCCCCCTGAGTAGCCAGGATGACAGACACCAGTGCCCAGCTCTACAGCTATATTTTATGTAGCATTCTTTCTCCCCATTCTACGACACCCTCCCCCCCCCACCGCACAATAAAAAAGAACTCTGATTTTTTTCCCCTAAATCAGCAACAAAGTAGAAAATTATTTTTCCTGATTCTCTGACTCATTCACCAAGAGATCTAAAGCCTGGGAAGCAGTGGTGAGGGGAGGAGGGAGGTGTGCAGGGAGGCACAGACTCCCTGCTTTCAGTAATCTGAGGGCCTTGCAGGAGTGAGTAAGCCAGGAAGTGAGGTGACAACCTGAATCCCAAGCTGCGGGTTGACTGAGTGGGAAACAAGCTTATGCTCCCTGGATCTGGCGATGGGATGTATGTCCTGTACACACCTACCTGTGTTTACCCGGCCATAGTCTACGAAGATCTGCAGCATGACAGACCCTAGCAGGTACCCAAAAGCTGGTCCAAAGACGGCGATGGCAAATAAGATGGCTAGACATAGAAACAAAGGGAAGGGAGTTTGAGAATGACTGAGACAGTTCAGCATCTTAGACTTTCCAAGCTGAGGGGGAAATCCCTGAGATGTCACCCCTGGTCCCCTGGTACTAACAAGCTGGTGCCTGTGGCATCTCCCACAGACAAGGCCAGAACCACTCACAATTCGCCAACATGTAGGGATTAAAACCTACTTCTCTCCTCCAGCGACCTACCAGTTAAACCTGCTAGCCTGGGGAGAAATGCCAGCTCAGGGTGTGGTACATTGATGGGTGAAACCTCCCTTGGGTATATAGAGCTTGGTGACCCTAGCAGGAAGTTATGGGGTGAGTCTGTGGGTGTGGTGTCTGAGTGAGCTGAGCCATCAAATGGTCCAGGGGGAAACGGATTCGGGCATTCCAACGGCCATCTGCTATCTTTCTTTGTGGGTCTGTGTTTAAGGGCCAACCTGCCCCCTTAGAGAAGATATGTGCTCAGGGTCTGTACCAGGAGTAGCAGCTGTTGTCTAAGATCTACATTAGCTGGGCATGTGTATTAGCTTCAGTAAACCTTCAGCTTCATGGTACACTGCTATGCTTGGCTCTACCCCGTGGGTCACAGGCATCTGGAAGCCTGAAGTCAGTTACAGAGGCTGGGCAGTTAACACAGCCCACCATTCACCACCAGGTCTGTTCAGTAAGACAAAGAGCATCGGACTTCATGTCCGTACCCCCAAGGACCTCAGCAAGCACCACCACACCAGCACCACCCCCCCCTGCATCCCCGCCCCTACTTTCCCCATCACCCTCTACAAACCCACGACTCACAGATGTACAGGGGAGAGTTGGTGGGTTCTGCGAAGTCATCTACGTAAGAAATTCCAAATGGCTGGATGGGCACCGTCCCGATGCCAGCCAGCAGCTGGGCTACTACCATCAGACCCCACATGCTGCCCATCTCCTTCTGGGTGTCCTGCGTGGCACTGTGGCACCTGCTGGGGGGTAGATTTGGCCGATGCTTCTGACAGAGCTCCTCCTGGAGGTGGCTGCGGTTCCCTGTAACCACAGGAGCCTCTGTCACCACCAGGCAGTCGGCCTCCAATCGTGGTCCTTCCCACCCCGTCACCCACCTGCTTCTGGGAAAGGGAAGGCCCGACGAAGGGCCTCCACCTCTACCCCTGCGCCCTCCACACACACACACACCCTGCCTGTCCTCTACCTGGGGGCCACACAGAGTACATTGGAGAATTGTGAGCATACAGGATGTCCTTATGCCTCATCTCATCTATAATTCTTTTTTTTTTGGCCAGTCCTGGGACTTGAACTCAGGGCCTGGGCGCTGTCCCTGAGCTTCTATTTGCTCAAGGCAAATAGAATAGTGGTGCCACAGCGTCACTTCTGGCTTTTTCTGTGTAGGTAGTGCTAAGGAATTGAACCCAGGGCTTCATGCATGCGAGGCAAGCGCTCTACTGCTGAGCCCCCTTCCCAGACATCCTAGAAAGGGACTTGATTGCATGGAAGGAAAATTCCAGAGTGAGGAAGCGGGCGGGGGCTAGGGCAGTGAAAATGCTCAGCAACTAATAGCAGTTGTCAAGGGCTGTGTGGAAGGAGGGGAGTTTTCACTAGAACTGTTGGTGCTGCTGGGTGGTGGTGAGATTGTAGGGGGTGTGTATGAGACACAGTTGTAGCTGTTGTAGGAGAACGGTTGTGTGTGTGTGTGTGTGTCTGTGTGTGTGTAACTCCTCTGGCAAAATAAAATGCTAGTCTCTGATTTTTTTTTTTTTAAATATAGTTTAAGTTGGAGAAAAACAAGGGAGGAGGTAACAATGTTCAACAACAAATATATTCACGTCAGGCGCTGGTGGCTCACACCTGTCATCCTAGCTACTCAAGAGGCTGAGATCTGAGGATCATGGTTCAAAGCCAGCCCTGGGCAGGAAAGTCCGTGAGACTCTCATCTCCAATAAACCACCAGAAAACCAGAAGTGGCACTGTGGCTCAAACGGTAGAGTGCTCACCTTGAACTGAGGGACAGCGCCCAGGCCTAGAGTTCAAGCCCCACGACTGACAAAAAAAAAAAAAAGTACTCATTGCCTTATATAGAGAGCTGTAACCCCTCTGCACATCACCTTTATGATAAAATTAAAGAAAATAATAAAACATTATTTATTTATTTTGTCGGTCTTGGGGCTTGAACACTGGGCCTGGGCACTGTCCCTCAGCTCTTCAGCTCAAGGCGAGCGCTCTACCACTTGAACCACAGTGCCACTTCTGGCTTTTTCTGCCTATGTGGTGCTGAGGAATCGAACCCAGGGCCTCAGGCTTCCAAGGCAAGCACTCTACCACTGAGCCACCTTCCCATCCCTAAAACATAATTTAATTGATATTAGCAGCAGAGAGGTTACTGCTCCACAAGTCAGGTAACAAGTACAGTTCTTTCTGGACGATGTTACCCCCTTCCTTCGCTTTCCCTTTGCTTTCGCTAGTCCTCATTATTTAACTGAATTCACATTTATTAGGACATGGTTGCTGGCATGGGTGGCAAAAGCATTTTTTGTGTGTGTGTGTGGGGACATTTAATGGTCATCAAAGATCACAAAAATGTGGACTGTCTTATTAAGTCTTCACCGTGCATGTGGCATGCTATAACAATGCCACAAAAATCCTCATGAAGTCTGACCTCATGCACTGCCCAGAAGGCAACCCTCTAGGGCCCCCTTAACTATTATTAACTTTCAAAAAATGTCAGATTACATGTCAGAAACTGTTTTTATTAAAAAATGTGAACTTCAAAAAAAAGAAAAAAAAATAGTAATCAGTTGGCTCCAATTCCATCCAAGTTCGCTAGTTTCTCTTGGCCTGTTTCTGCTTCCCACATGGATTCGAGAACACTCCAAGAACTGGCTTTTCTTCATGCCAGATCTGAATGGACCTAAGCCCATCCGTGATTAAACTCTGAAATTTGTGAAAAAAGGGACAGCGGTTTTAAAATACAACCCCATGGATCAGAGTCTTCTAGAACGTAAAACAATTAGGCTCCTCTCTTGAAAATAAGAGGCAGGCCGGGCGCTGGTGGCTCACGCCTGTAATCCTAGCTACTCAGGAGGCTGAGATCTGAGAATCGCGGTTCAAAGCCAGCCCGGGCAGGAGAGACCGTGAGACTCCTATCTCCAATAAACCACCAAAAAACCGGAAGTGGCGCTGTAGCTCAAGTGGTAGAGCGCTCACCTTGAGCTGAAGAGCTGAGGGACAGCGCCCAGGCCCAGAGTTCAAGCCCCACGACCAACAAAAAAAAAAAAAAAAAGAAAATAAGAGGCAGGTATACATGAATGCTGGAGACAGAAAGAAGGAAGAGGGGAAGAAATGACCTCAGACAAGACCAGCCTTATGGACAGGCTTTTAATTAGAAACATTGATAGTGGACGGCCTCTGTCCATAGAACTGGGGAGCTCAGAGCTACTCCTTACTTCCTCTCTTAGCTTTCCACCAAGCATAAGATATGATGTGTGTGTGTGTGTGTGTGTGTGTGTGTGTGTGTGTGTGTGTGTGTGTGTGTGTGTGTGTCAGTTGTAGGGCTTGAACTCTGGGCCTGGGCACTGTCCCCTCAGCTCTTCAGCTCAAGGCAAGCGCTCTACCACTTAAGCCCCAGCGCCATTTCTGGTTTTCTGAGTGTTTTATTGGAGATCAGTCTCATGGACTTTCCTGCCCAGGCTGGCTTTGAACCGCGATCTTCAGATCCCAGCCTCCTGTGTAGTTAGGATGATAGGCTTGAGCCACCGGCACCCAGCCAAGCATAGGATTTCTTAAATCCTATACCTGGAGAAGTTACCCAAAGCATCTCATCTCCCCGTTTCCCACTCCCATCTTCCCACCATGTCAAATCCCATGATAATGCAGCCAAGAAAGGCCAACTACCACCAAGCAATACCCTGAGCCACCATCACCAGCATTTAAGGGCTCAGAAGAAGGTTCTTCATGAACCAGAGTCAGCCTGTTTCTCATCTGCTCCCCAGGCAGGCTTCTGGAAGGTTCAACGACATCAAGAGCTGATTCTTTTTCCCCCCTGAGGACAGCAGAGGCTTGGTTTGCCAGTTTTCACAGGGTTATGGTACTAACTAGAAACAGGCCAGGGCCTTCCCTGCCTCTTCCCAGCTTACTCTAGTCCCAACCCCAACAGCATGGGAGCCAACCCTCTGACTCAATCCACAATTTAAATATGCAGAATGTTCGGGTCTCATTTTTGGACCTTCTCAAGTCTGTTTGAAGGTACAAGAGACTTGTTCAGGAAGTTCTGCTGCCCTAGGGTAGGGACCCAGAGAGATGGAGTAGACCAGGCTACACAGACATTGGGAGACCATCATGAGCTGAATAAGAAGCATCTGCCCTGGGCTGGGAAGGTGGCTCAGTGGTAGAGTGCTTGCCTCACATGCCTGAGGCCCTGGGTTCGATTCCTCAGCACCACATAAGCAGAAAAAGCAGGAAGTGGTGCTGTGGCTCAAGTGGTAGGCTGATCGCCTTGAGCTGAAGACCTGAGGGACAGTGCCCAGGTCCAGAGTTCAGGCCCCATGACTGACTAAAAAAGAAGAAGAAGAAGCGTCTATCCAAAGGTTTGGAGCTGGAGGTAGAGAAAGAAAGAAGGACCTAGAAGAGACCAAGTCCCTTTGCCTGTCATTTTTTTTTTTTTTTTTGCCAGTCCTGGGGCTTGAACTCAGGGCCTGGGCACTGCTCCTGAGCTTCTTTTGCTCAAAGTTAATGCTCTACCACTTGAGCCATAGCATCACTTCTGGCTTTTTCTGTGTATGTGGTACTGAGGAATCGAACCCAGGGCTTCTTGCATGCTAGGCAAGCACTCTACCACTGAGCCACCTTCCCAGCCCCTGCCTGTCATTTTGTCAAGAGGGAATTCTGCCAGGAAACAGGAAACAGGGCAGCGATGAACCACCTTGGAGTCATGATTCCTGAGGGTCTCACTTTAAAGAGCTCATGCACAGAGAGAGTATTAGAAGAAGGAGGTTAGCAAATGCAGCCCTCAAGCAGCCCTCTATGAAAACAGTAGAGACAGACCGGGGTGTTTCTGGAAAGGTCTTCAGAAGCATGGCCAAAGTGCCAACACCCCTGGGGTAGCAGCACAAATCTCAAATCCTCCTCCAAGAGTGAAGGACCTATTTCCTCATCCTTCTAATTCGGCTCCTTGCGACCGTGCTTCCCGAAACTCTGGCAACACCCATCAGCAGGCCTGGAACAAGCCGTTCTGAACTCACTCACGATCTGAGCTCTCAGTTGCTCGTCATTTAAATGGTTGGCAAATCAGAAGTGACCCATGTAAGACCCTGTTCATTCATAACACCCCCTGTAATCAGGCATCCATCTTCCACTCCAAGCTACTTTTGCAAAACACTTTTTCTCCTATGAGTAAAGGCATTCTGAGTTTCCTCTTGGGAAACTAGGACAGTATCATCTTCTACTCTAGCAGAGAAAAAAAAAAGTCAGAGCTGACAGCCCCATGGTGGGAGTGCAGAAGAAATGTACAGTAGAATCTCAATTCTATTGTTTGGCAGTCAGGAGCCTCTGAGAAGTTCAGTCTCCTAACTTCCATCATAGAATAATGCCTTGCAATATCTGCATGACAATTAAAAATAGGATGATGATGATGAACTAGAACTAAATATATGACCATTAAAAATAATGCATAGAGCGGGCTGGGAAGGTGGCTCAGTGGTAGAGTGCCTGCCTCGCCTGCATGAGGCCCTGGGTTCGATTCCTCAGCACCACAGAAGCAGAAAAAGCTGGAAGTGGCACTGTGGCTCAAGTGGTAGAGCGCTAACCTTGAGCTGAAGAGCTGAGGGACAGCGCCCAGGCCCAGAGTTCAGGCCCCACAACCGACAAAGAATTTTTTTTTAATGCATAAAATAAGGTAGCTATGGTTGACAACCACTGAATACTTTTCAAAATGGGATTTTTTATTATTCCCAACATATATAGAAACAAGCCGGTCATGGGTGGTTCACGTCTATAATCCTAGCTACTCAGGAGGCTGAGATCTATGGATAGTGCTT